ACGACGGGCTTCTTTAGCGGTCCGGTTCAGGTTGCGTCTGGTGTTGGGTCGGAGGTGTTTACTGTCGAGGTGAAGGATACGAATCCCAAGTGGTTTTACTGTGCTACTGGGCAGCATTGCCAGGGCGGTATGGTTGGTGTTATCAACGCTCCGTAAGTTCATGTCCCCTATTCGGAGGAATCTAGTCAGATTTGCTAATAGATTTGCAGTGCCAGCGGTCAAAGAACTATTGAGCAATACGCCCAGGCCGCCGCCGCGGCGCAGTCCAACATCGCTCCCAGCGCGACTGGAGGTGGTACCCTCGGCTCCGCGGCCACTGGCAGCCCCAGCTCTGCCTCGAGCTCTCCCTCTGCTTCATCCTCATCGCAGCCCAGCGCTGGTATTGAGGCCCGCGGTGACGTTCGCTGGGGTCTGCTCAGCTTGGGTATGGCTGCCGCTGGTGTTGTCGGAGGACTCCTCATCTGATGTCCTGCGGTGTGGTTTCTTTGAATACCCGAATGGGGGCTGGGAAGATGAAGGAGATTATGGGACCAAGTTTTATACCAATTATGCATCAACGGCTGGGGTTTACCAAAATGACAGAAAGGGTTGGATTGGGAGAGGTTTGAAAAGCCTGGAGCTTCTTTCCATTGAATGGAATGGGTGGTGCGCCCACTTCTTCGATATATATAGTACCCTACTGCATGTTTGCTACTTTACGATAACTAGAAATTTCAAACAAAAAACTACACACATAGCGTGAATCATTATGCTAGTGCCTATCAGGTTGGATGTGTCTACGACCAAAGGTTGCAGGTATTTTTTTCATTCGTCGTGTTTACACCATTCAAAGGAATCTGTTTTCGGCTTTCGTTTGCTCACTTTGCCCTGTGAATGACGTTGTCTGATTGCGACTATCTATCCCTCGCAAATTATGCTATTTTTAATGCTGTGCTTCTCTCATGTACAAACGTAGAATCTAGGTATATATTCACCCTACCCAACACTTACTATTGCGGTATCTACTGAAGTGTGAAGCAGCGATTTCAATCGATCTAACCGATAAGTTCCAGCGATTCGTAGAAATAAGATCTCATTCTACATCTGGTTGCAAGTCGGAAGCTGCCCTTTGAGAGCCCTTTCCCCTTGTGCTTCACATTCAACCGTAGTCAATTTGAGCGGCATCCTAATCCTCGGCTGGAGATTAACTTTCATCCAAAGGGCAGGTTTCTTTGCGACTTACCTGGTACTAAAGAAATGAATACTTGTGACTGGAATACCATTGAGCGTTTCGTCCGCCACTTTATAGTCATAGAATAGTGGTACGTTGTTCCGAAGATCCTCGTCTACTAAATAGACCCATGTACCGTTATGTGTGTCGAATCCGCAAATGAGTATGAACTTTTTCCCAGTCACGGTCTCGACTTCTACTGATCCTTCGAACTCTTTTAGGCGTCGACTCACAAATCTGTATGTGTCAGGGTCCCAGTGGTCCCTGCTAGCTCCTTGAGAGATGATGCGCAATACCAACTTCGGTTCCTCGGTGTCGAAGGAAAACCTGAAGTCACGGCCAGGGATCCTCACAATTTCCTCCGTTAGATCTACAGTAAACCTTTTAGCGATGAAAAGAATCCTCTTGTCGAGTGGTCGACTATCAAACTCATACTGCCTAAGGTATAGCTCGTCCGGCCTCATCCTGACGAAGATACCACCATTGAGCTTACGAAGCAGGATGCCCAAAGGTTCAGACTTGGTTTCCGCGGTTCTTGGAATACCCAGACTAAGGAAGTCCGTGTCTTCGCCGAATTTATTGTACGTGAAAAGCCTGGATTCTAGTCGAAGACCCTTGTTCGTCATAGAAAACTACCAATAGCGGCATGAATACGTTAATATTGCATTCTCTTTCAGAAGTTCTTGGTGATTGTTAACAGACCTCTGGACCACATTTCGCATTGTTAACGGATATTAGATGCCGACAAGAGCCGAAATGATCAGGATTGTTGGTGAGGATGCCACAGAATCCGGCCGAGCGGTCAGGCGAAGTGACGCTAGAATCCGTCCAGGCAAAGAGCGACATGTCGTTAGTCTCGGTGATGATCGCCTCTTGTAATCGAATGAAAGCTCGGTCACCTTCCCCATAGAGAAGAGGCATACTGATGCCAAAATACCTAATAGTGAGTAGGCACGGTCTTCGACTCTCTTTGCCTTACGGCCGGCAGCCCATGACAATCGCCGGCCAACAGGAATGCTGGCTAGTAGACTCTGTATGCTTTGTTGCGTCAGCGGGTTATGTTTCAAAACTTCGTCGTCGATCATTGTTCGGAGATTTATCTCCCTCCAAAGCTCGATACGGCTTCCGATCAGTCTCCATTGCCTGTCGTAGAACTTCATTTCTCGCGGTGCGATGAGCTCTTGGAGTGTCCAGCCCCTGCTGAACCACGCCGACTTTGTCATATCATCATCTGACTGAATGTCCGAGAGGTATGCGAAGCAGATCTTTGCCTCTGAATACCACCTGAACATTGAGTTAATCGCTTCAGTAGGCTCGGTAAGGTTTCGCTTGTCGATGCAGCAAGTGTCTATCCAGGCGTAACCGATCCCGATTTCGAGTGCCTGGCGCAAGTTCCCTCAATCTTGGACCACCCAAGTACCTTCTTGGACCTTGTTTCGGCACTGCTCATGTCTTCGAAGGTGACCTCATCTTCGTCGTCTTCCCATCTGTGGGAAAGAATAGCGTAGGCTGTTGAAATTCCCTTCTTTTCTAGCTCCTGTTTCCTCGCTGGATACATTTCCTCAATGCGAAGGGTGGAGCAGTTGAGAAGCTTCATTGCGACACAACGTGAAGTTTGATGAGTTGGAGATTTGATCACTAGGAATTGTTGGTATCCAAGGCTTCATATGACCGAGAATGAGAATTTTAAGAGCTCCTTCTCACGGGCAGTCTGATACGGAACCGGCATTGAATGAATATGTTTGATAGATAAGCCAATTGAGCAGGCAATAAGGCAACAAGGCAGATCCAGTAGCGAAGTCTCATATTCCATACTTGATAGCCTATTAATCTTGCAGAGTGCGTCACATCGCATGAGACCCTGGCCAACAGCATGCAAACGCTACCATAATCTCAACTCTGCGGCGTCGTAACACCTTCGTCATTCCGACGTAAGCCATAGGCGCTAGGCATGAGTTCAGGGATATAAAAGACAAGTAAGCGGTATCATGGTTGATGACGGGCCATTCTCAAGGGTAAATTCGCGAGATATGATGCATGCTCGCCCGATTATTTGCCGAATTTTGGTTGAGACATATGGTAACCGAATGCGAACGATTTCGTAAGAGGCAGACGACTTTTGAACTACTTCATGACTGGACATCACGAAGAAGTTAGTAGAAATAAATCATCACATGGGGTGCAAGCTTTCTTGAAAAATAAGCGAAGTCTAGGCTGAGTCCTATCCGCAAAAACTTTAGATCACGAGTAGTACTAGAAAGGTATCAGGATGAATTGAGCTCGGCATCATGTCCATTTCCGACAGAACTGCTCTCAATAGATTGAAGCAAGGAAAGCTTAAACAGTTACTAAAGAAAGTATATGGAACAGGCACCTTCTGATTAGTGAAGGATCAATATTCGTTTCACACATACTTTACGCTGTAGATTGAATTCATAGGTGCCGGACCCAATATCGCGACCAACCCCGAAGCCATCGATCTTCACACGCACCTCTCGCTTGTCGTGACACCTGTGCTTGGCTCAGAAGCACGGCCCTACACAGAACTCCTGTTCAATTTTGGATCGAAGCTCTACTCTATACGATCTCTGGACATTCCATTCGCCTTCCAGGTCGATAAATCGACAACTCAAAAGCTGTTGGAACAAGACTGAAAAAAAGCAAAAGCTTGGAACTAGGCACGAGAGAATCTAGAGCTGTTGGTGTCACCTTTACGATCTCAAACCTAGCTTGCTGTGCATTCTCCAAGAGCATAATATACGCATCGAATTGCATAGTTGCCAATCTTATCAGGGATTTCGTAGTCCTTGGTTGAACTCCTAGCTCCCCTACAAATCCCGCATCTGAAATTTGGGTTGCTTGCCGAGTTGGATATGTTCGACTTTTTGTATTCCATCGTATCGCCAATGTCGTTTTTACAGTACCACTGGGCGTTGGAAGCAGGGATGGAGGCCATGAAGGGATCGGAGACGGTCGAGTCATAGAAGAAGGCACAGTGCTTGGCTGCGGAGTCTGCAACCAAAGCTGCCAGGATCAAAGTAACCCGATTCTGCATGATTGGGATGAAAATGACAGATCCGCGTGGTGATTAAGAAGTAGGCGGCGAGGGAATAGGGAGGAAGGAAATGGACCGGTTTGGCCAGGAGCGAAAGACTGTGGTGTGATGGACTATGCCACACCTTAATGCCGACCTTAGTCTTCAAAGGATTACCGTGGCAAGATATCGTAGCTGACGTACGCTGACTCAGGATGTCCATTATCGCATCAACCTAGGGAGGATATGATTGTCTTCTCTTCAACATATCTATTAGTGCAACCCTCCGAAAGGAAGAGCAGTCTCATCTACAAGAGTCTGTGACTTAGAAATCACGAGTCAAATCTAATCCACCTAGTATTATACAAGTCCCTAAACAAGTAATGATCGACGAGTATTGAATTGCATTGCTCCGAGGAAGGCATCCAAAGCCATTACTAACTAACTTTCAGCGGCTTTAACCGGAGAAAACAATGCTAGTCATTAGGCCTTCAAAGTATCAAAGTTCACTTGCGCGTGTGAAGCAAGGGAACTGACTTCAAGGTACTCCGTTTTCACGACGGAGTTCATGGGGAGAGCTCGCCCGCCAAGGGCGCAAAACTGGCGACTAGCATAGCACACCCGCCAACTACCTTAGGCTGATATATGCAAGGATGAGATAATTCTTCATTGTACTTAAGTAGCCTTTCCACATGCACTCCTTTGAGAGATGTTTTACGAAAGAGACTGTGCTCAGTAAAGTACTAAGTAGTCTCTTCACTCCTCGGTAGGGCTCAAGGAATATGTCAAGCACCCAATATCCCGCGTTCCAGCAACACCTCCGTTGATACCTGTCGGCTCGAGTTAGAAATGATATGAAGGCCATCCGTTATGCATATGATAAGATCCCGTGGCAACTGCGAACTTACAATCGGTCCAAAGTTGGTAGAATAACTGGCGACATCCAATCGTACCCCCACCCCAAGGTTCCTTGGGATTCTGCTCCGTTACGGCAGGCGAGCACTGCTTTCTCCAAGCCACGGTATACTTCAACTTCGCGGCATTGAAATACTTCGAGTAGTAGATCCGGGTTATTGCCTCATGTCCGGGTGTCACAACGTCAGGTAAGACCTCATTGCACATAGCCTTAAGTCCCTGCTTGACTGTCACTTCGTGGACATCTTTGTGCTTCGGAAAGTCGCCCTCGCTGTTGCAACGCAGCTCCCCTTTGCGAGGGGCCGTGTTGGTGATTTGGTATGAGTATGTCCCGCACCCAGCATCGAATTGGCCCTTTTCGGCCATGACGTTGCCTTCGCCTCCCGTGTGCCCGCCTGAAGTGTTTTAGTCAATGTCTTCTAATGAGGATAGGAAGATGGCATGGACTCACATGTGTTCGCAATTGTTTTGTATGTGTCTAGGCAGCTTTTCTGGCAAGAGCCTGCGTCAAATACCATGTTTGGTTTCCAACCGAGATTTACGATGTAGCCCTTGTACGGGTCGAGTGTGACTGGCGGAGTTCGCGCCTGCAGCTTGGCTTCCTGATTGTTGCCAGTTATGTCGACAACCCATGAAAGCGCTTGTGAAGCCAGGGCGTCGACTTCCTGGCAGAACTTTGCTGCCACGTTGTACTTTGACCCTGCGAATGCATCCCATTGAATCTCGGCAGGTTTATCCATGGCGCAGTTTGGGTTGGCAGATGGGCTCAAAGTCGTTATCGGGATTCTAGTCTCTGCTGGTGGGGGTAACCACGCCTTCGTCGTTACTGTGGTAATGGGCGTTGATGTCTGACTCCCTCCATCGGTTCGGCATCCGGAGACGGCTCCACACGATGTTTCGCAATATTGAAACATAATGCCAACGCCCTCACACGAGGCCTCACATGCAGTAATTCGTGAACATCTAGATATAGTAGTTGCTGTGACTGAGGCGGGTGGTGTGGTGATGATGCCCGACATGAGCTTTTGCTTGATCGGATTCTTGTCCCCTAGGGGTAGGTTTTCAATCAGGGTGTTGTAAGCCATCATGAAAACAACTTCGCCAATGCCCTGCGCGACGCTTTCACCGATATTCATTAGCGGGGCGAAGTCTCTAACAAAATTCGTAACGACAAGGGCGGCATTGGCGACATTTCCAGCTGTGAATGGTAAGGCTGGGGGATTCATGAGAAGGAGGTCTTCCAGTGGGCCACCAGGAGTTGCCATGCCGATGGCCCCTTGAGCACCACATATGGCGGCTCCGAACTGAGCAGCGCGTTTTCCATTGGCATCACTGTCGAATTGCCTGCCATCAAGGCAGTCGGTAGACCTTCGTATAATTTCTTCGAGCCGCTTGGCTAGTCCTTCGTCCATGGTGACCATCAGATCCCCTGGGGTATAACCAGCAATAGCGGTGGCAATGGGCGTGATCAAAGGTGTGGCAGTACTGCATATAGCCTCGTCAGCACAATCCCATGTGTAAGGTAGCATATCTTCAGAGGAGTTTTTCAGGAGACTCACCCTCCTGGTCTGGTTGGATCCGGCACAGGGGTGAGTGTAGCAACGCCCTTCCCTTCTGCAGATAATATGATCGTTTTCGTGTCCGCAAGATCGGCCGCGTTACTAGCCTGCGTATCAGGAATTATACGGTCCGCAAACTGAATGGTTGGCTGCTCGGCATGCTTGAAGCTCCAGGCCGAAAGAAGCAACATAGCAATTGTTGTGAACGCGGAGCCCTTTGACTTGAACGTCTTGGAGAGGAAATGCCCAAAGTGGCGACGTTCGATTTCGGCGTCGATTACAAAGTTGGCTGATTGAATTACCTCTCGTACGTCTTGGTAGCACTTGTCATCAGTCTTTTTGCAGCCGATCAACGTCTTCCGGACTTCGTCCTGAGTATCAGGTGATAGGGCAATATGGAACCCTGCACCCTCTTTGCCCGACATCCAGATCACTTTACCACTGAGACCTGGAAGTTTTCCCTTTGAAGAAACAAGGTATCAGCTTTCTTAGTTGGACCGGGGGACAACAGTGGTACTCACATTTCCTTGATATTGACTGAGTTGTCCAAGATCGAAAACCTTTTCCTCTTGGGCTACAGCCAAGACTGCTGCAATGATGCAAATGAAAAGATAGCGGACGACTGTGGAGCCCATATCAAAGAAATCTCTGGATAGAACCAAGATAAGAAAGCTATTCTTCGCGGTGGGGTTGTGAAGAGAGAGGCTTTCTAGCGATGTTTTACAAAATCCTGGTGGCCCGTCTTCATTGACTAAGGTACCTTCGAGTTCTGAACTCAGAGGAGATGGAAGCGCGGGTATTTATGCCTTTCCCATCTTCCACTGTCTTTAAAATTGAAGACAATTGTCTTTATCCTCGGAAGGACTTCTTCCATACAACCACAGCTTCAAGCCGGTGGTGAGCTGTGGACTTCGGCCTGAAACTTCCGGGCCAATCTGCATGTCGACGAGAGTCGTCCTTGAGGGCCTGCGAAGGGCATCGCTATGTCGGGGGCTTTGGGGCTGCCCCAAAACCCCCACACGATGGGTTTTAAGGATGAAGCTCAATAATCACGATGCAGGACTGTCATTCTGACGTTTTTGTTGGAGTTGTTGGCTGGCGAAGCACGGGCCAAACCCTCAACTTCACATTGGGCTATTTAAGCTGACCCTACCCACCGAGTTTGAGCAATGGTCAGTCGATGGCTGGTACAAAATGGTGCCTGTGCATATCACTGCCTGTTGGGGGCGAATGGTTGGAACCTATTTCTGCTGCATTGCTTGGTATGTACTCATGTCAGTTGATTTCATTTGACTGCTTGCCAACAGTGGCTCATGGGCTAGACCTATATGCCAACCTTAAGTATGTGTCTCTGCAAGTAGCCAATTCGAACGGAGAGATAAATTGCCCAGCTTTGGGGGCCCAACCAAACCGGGAAGGACGAAGCATGGCCCCCATTGCCGGAACCGCGGCCAACGTGCAAGCGGCTTGTTTGGGGTACAAATACGTGGTTGGTGCCCTCACTTCATGTTCCAACACCAGCCTTGTACCCAAACAATAGACCACATCCCAACTTTTCATTTCCCCCCGACACGACCCAAAGACACTTCGCCGCCCAGAGACGGAGATGACGGGCGCCCCCAAACAGAGCTTTATTGAAGCGTGCAGGAACGGCGACTTGCCACTGGCTGAAAGCATTATGCAGGATCACAACGACTTCAAGGCACAGCAGGAGTGTTATGTGTATCCTGACACTTTGATAAAGCACGCCGTTGACGAGGCAGCGTGGAAGAATCACGCGCCTGTTGTCGGCTTCCTACTTGATAACGGAGCTAGTATCACCGATTCAGTTGTTCTTGCGGTATCTAAAAGTCGTGACAAAACGATGTTGGAGGAAATCCTCAAAAGAGGGTTTGACATCAACACAGTGGAGCCAGGCGCGACTTTACTAAGGTGTGTGCCCCCATCGTGCCAGGTTCTGAGGGGCATGATACTCATCTTCTCAAACAGGCTATCCACTGGACATATCGAGTGGATGGAGGTACTGTTACAGCACGGAGCAGACCCCAATGTCAAAGATTCGAGGGGACGGACAGCGCTTCACTCCGCCGTGATCAAGCCATCGTTGCAACCCTGTCAGCTGCTGCTTGACCACGGAGCCACGTTGCCACGAGATATACTTCAGTCTGCGATAGGTTTCAAAGGTGCAAGCATAGAGATGGTTGAATATCTCATTGAAAAGGGGGCTGACCTCAACTATGTCCGAAACATCAAAACAGGCTACAAGATCTGGCAAGGGACCCCTCTACATGTCGCCGCCGGTACCAATCGACTTGACATCGCTCAGCTTCTGTTGAGTGCGGGGGCCGATCCCGGCGTCAAGTATTGGGACGATACGCCGGCCGACACAGCCAAAGAGTTTGACTACATGGAAATGTATAATCTGCTGAAAGCGGATGCAGCCCCTGATGAACTCGCCCCTTGATGGACTGGGTCAAGCGAGATGGAAAGCCTGTTCAACAAGCCCCCGCGAATAAGGATAGAATTGGTCGCCAAGATGGCCTCCGAAGGCCTTTCAAGTTATTTTTGTACGTACCTCATCAGATACTCTGCTTCCGAACCGGAAGGATGTTCTACGACATCTTCTTCGACTTATAAAATACAACACGCATTCTGCTTGAGAGGGCGTGGTTCCGTAATGTGAAATCATCTTTTCATTAACATATTATGATCACAACATTCGAGATTGATCATTGCGGATGTAACTCATATTCTTTGGCATTCTTTGCAAGTCACGACGAGTACATCAACACTCAAAAGCCCACACGCGCAAATATCCTCACCCAACTAAGGATTATCATTGGAAGACCCCATCACTTCAGAATGTCTCCAAACACCTTTGGCCAGCTCTTTTTACCGCTCCTGCTTCTAGTAGCGATGGCAGTAAGCGCTTTTCCATCGGCATGGTCACTTGGTATGTTGTCCGCAAACACTTATTCTGTCACGTTGAATACCTTATCACTCTGGCTGACTTTGATTATTAGATTCTAATGCTATGAGACCATCGTTTGAAGAATGGCCTCGCTCTACCACTCTTCTAGGCAACTTCGAGTCTATCACCCAAACCCGACAGCGCGACGAGGATCAGGATCCCCGAAATACCTGCAACCCATTTTCCATGATTAAAAACATCCATGGGCCTGTTGAGAGGCTTAGTGCTGAAGGACAGAATCTCACCTTGGCTAGAAGAGTCGATATCGCATTTCCTGGTGACAACGTAGACCAGTGGATGATAGCCCAGGTCCGAAAGACGAAACCTATTGTTTGGGAAGTCAGTCCAGGAACCGATGCCAATACAGCAGTTTTCCGAAAGTTTGGCAGGAATTCCTTCAGCCTTGGAACAAACGGCCTGTGTGGGTGCAGTTCACTTTGGATCATCAGCAGAAAAGGGGTTTATGCCACTCACTATTGGGAGAGTATTTCGTTCGCGCCTGAGAAAGAGTGGAGAAACCCAGGCGAAACCAATTCTCAGGTGTTTGAACGTACTGTAATTGACGGTCTCAAAAGCGGCAACGTTGTCAGAGGCAGGAGAATGCAGGCTAGGCTCGATCGAGACGAGATTGCTGACGATTATATCAAGGCCTACCTTGTTCATCCTGAGCGATCATGGCAGCATACCCCCGCCGCAGTTGATGGATATCGATTGCAATGGAACAAGATCAAAGACACAGTAAAGGAAATTATACCGGAACTGGCGCCAGATAACAAGTGGCAAGAGGTCATTTATAACCGATTAGATGACGACGACGAACAGCTATTTGATACTGCCCTGGGTCATGTGGTGTTCCACTTTTCGCCTGATCATGAACAGAAACGGAAGGCTGTTTTGTGGGTTGAGAGACGCAAGGAACCTTACCATGATGATGACTGGGAATAGAGTTGTGGAATAGCTACAGCTAAAGCGAGAATCTGTGAAGTCTAATAACTGGAGGTTCAACACAAACTAGCATGATTGAGATGAAAAGGGGAGAAGGACAAAGTTTGAATACCTGCTACTTATCATCGTGTTTCATTTCATCCTGTCTACCATTTTTATGGGTGGTAGCTTGAGTTCTTCTGCGTTGATTTGTTTCGTCTTTTTGTAATATCTAACGATTCGTTCGTAACAATGACATAGACACGTTCCATCGAAACTAACGACGTTGAACACACATCTCTCAGAACGCGAGCTGAATGACAGCGGTTCCAAACAGTCTCCGGAGCATCTTATTCCGGACAAACTGCCTTATCAGACTAGGGCGCACTACACTGGTGACTGTCTCACAAGCCCTTCTCGTAATCATAATTTGAACCGGGAGCAGAATCTCGGCCAAGATTCAGGGCGCTCAGAGGTTTGGGGGAAGAAATTATAGTGAGTTGCTCTCTTCCTAAGTGAAAGTTTGAACGCCTAAGCAACTACTTTACAGATGAAACTTGCTTATCTGGACCCTATGCCCCTCATTGCCTCCCATTCACTTTCTAGGATTCCATAGCTGATCATGTCATACCATTGTCTATCAAACCAATAAGACTCACGGCTGCGGCCCTCTTCCACGAAACCAAGCTTCTTGTATAAGTGCTGCGCTCGCTCATTGTAAGAGACAGTGCCAAGGTGAACCCGATGGTAGTTCCCATACCGGAAGGCCCAGTCGAGAGCCCAGTTGATGACCTCGGTCCCGTAGCCTCTTCCTTGATACTGTGGTGCTATCGCGATCCCGAGGCCGACTGAGCGGTGATGGGCCATTGCCGGCGGAATGCCACCCCAGCCAATCGCGAGGTATCCTATGGGCTTTGGCGCAGTCGTCTTCGCATCGTCAAATTTCTCGTCGCTGTCGCCTGGGGCATCCGCTGGAAGGCAGACCATGACAGCGAGAACGGATTTGGCCATTTGTTCAACCATCCACTCGCTGTGCTTGCTAGTCCTCGGCATCAGCGCCATTGGGTTGGAGAGGGCGACGATGACTGGGTCATTCTCGATTTGCGTGTGTAAGAACTTCTTATCATCGTCGTTGTTTTCCACGGCTCGGAAAACAAGCCGTTCAGAGCGATAGGCATCGTTCACGCCTCCGGCGAGCATGGTGGTTATCAGAGTGTGCAAGGGGTGTCGTAACGAATATGACTGTTCGAGATAGTTCAGAATGGAAGTAATCACTCTGGGCACTGCTCAAAGTCTCAAATATCAAGTGATTGTGCAATAATTGAGCGACTTGTTACCGTTACTTCTGCAGGTTGATACTTAGGGTTGTGAGGGGATTCCTTACTAATGCCTCTAAGGAGTCCGAGTGGCCCTATCACGGGCTACTAAGCTTACGTTCAAGCTGACGTCTAGCCCCGACAAAAGTCCCGTTAACGCATGACGGTGAGCCCCTCTTCCCATTTCCCCACCCAAAATGTACTGCGAATTTTGAACATAACGCTTGGGGCTTATCTCGAAAGATTCCTGCGCGCTCATAGTCTTTTGTTGTTGAAGTTACACATTATTAACTAACCGTCTGAAGGGCTCATGCGTCCTTGTGTAGTGACGAAGGCAGTGAAACCTCTGTGTATCGAATAAAGGCGAGGGACAATATAGCAGAAAAGTTCCATGCATAAAATATTTCCGAAAATTTCGAGTTGTCTCAGGGTTTGTCACTGATTGACATTTGGCGTCGCCTTCTCCCGAGGTATCATCGTAGAAAGAGGGCATACTCACCTACCATTCGAGTGACAGTTCGGAACTGGAAGATTTGTGTTTCATGTGCCGAAAAGAGTTTGCATAAATGCTGTATGACTGGACTGCTGCTTGATACCTTTCCCAAAGTCACTAGTTTTCCCAGTGAATATGTTCTACGGTGTCAACCAAGGGCCTCTTTCTGGGGCGGGAACCCAAAGCTTCTTAATAGACTTGGACCAAGCTGTCAGTGTATACTAGTTTACGTAAGAGATGAAAGCTCTACTGAACAGTTTCGCACGCAAAAGCTATTGTTATCGGTCAATTCTGGCAAAAAAGTTCTCGTTCATAAGTAAGACCAACCTTGCGTTTCCATAGCATACATACTGAAAATGAAGGCTATTTGAGGCTATGACTTCCTTTTAAGTCCCTTAAAATCGTTCTGATTATAAGATTTCTCTGTATTATGTGAAGTTGGGATCCCTTAATATACTGAAGTCGTCACCCCTTCAATGCCGACATATGGAACAGAAGTGGGGGCAAGGCGACGTGGATGGCGTGGCAAAACTAATTGAAGACATGCGTATTGTTTTAGAGGCTTTCATTCAATACTGAACCGTTCCTATTCTCGGTTTGGAGAACGTGCAGTCCTGGATTCCAGTGCGTATCCAATTTCATCACCTTGATACTGGTCCAATAACACAAATTGAGAACTTGACCTCTGTGCTGTTGGACTCGTTGCACCCTATGCCGGCTGCCTGTGAACTACTTATGTGTTCACAACGTGAGGATAAATGAATCTATCTGTCACGTACGAGTCAATATCTAGAAAGCGGTGACAAGTTGCATACCCTAGCATTCGGTGGCGTCTGGCACTCATACCGTCCGGACATTAGGCCTATCTCCACACCAACCACATCCGGCCTCCGAAATGTCCGAGACCGAGTTGGAGGTTTTTCGTCACAGGCCGTAAACCTCGTCGCTCTTCGCGTTTATTCTTCTAGATCATGAGCGCGAGGTCTAGCAACAAGCGCATGTTTCTGTTCAGTCCATTTCCTCGTCTTGGTGTGACAGCAGTGGCCCCGAGAAGCCCTTCATCGCGTAGCTGATTATCGCCCAGATATGGCCGATGGGATGGGGAATAAGTAGTCACCAGGCTCCTCGGACATCAGTATGCGGCAGCGATATTTGCTTCCCCGCCTATCTCCATACTTAGATTTAATATCATGACTGTCTCGTCAATTAAGATTTTGTTGAAGAACGGCGTGCTTCTTATTCATGGAGACGACGGCAAAGTCAATCCGCAGCGGTCGGATATTCTCATCGAGGGAGACACGATTTCCGAAATCGGCACAACCGTCAGGACAACCGGCGAGGATGTCAAAGTGTTAGACTGCGAGAACAAAATCATATCTCCAGGCTTTATAAGCACACATCATCACGTCTGGCAAACCGCGCTCAAGGGCCGCCATGTCGACCACACTCTACTTGAATACTTGCCGCGAGGAAACTTCATTGGGTCATTGTTCACCACCGAAGACGCATTTTGGGGTGAACTTGGTGGCGCACTTGAAGCTATTGATGGCGGGACCACGACCATTGTGGACCACTCCAGTCTGAACGTTGGCTCAGAATTCCGTAAGACCCTTGCTCGATATAAGTCTAGCCATTAGTTGACACTGAAAACCAGCCCCTACGATGCTTCAGGCGCTTGTAACCTCTGGGATTCGCTCTGTCTACTGCTATTGCGTTCCAAGGACGACCAGCTGGAGCCCGTTCTCTACAGTAGATGACTATACATCTTCACATGTTCTCGAAAACTGGAAATCTCTGGCGAGTAAGGGACCATACGGAGACGGCCGAGTGCAGCTTGGTTTCGCGGTGGACAACTTGTATCAGTCGCCTGACCAAATGAAGCACCTCTACTCAGAGCTTCGGAACGCAAACGCGAAAGTTATTACATCACACGGTGCCGGCGGTCTAGCCTTTGGCAATGGCCCTTCTGTCCTCCAGATCCTCAACAACCACAACTTGCTAGGCTCAGATATACTGATCTCTCACGCCAACTTTCCAAAGAATGGCGACGCAGAGTTTGTCAAACAGCACAACGTCTACATATCTGCTACACCCAACACAGAGCTTCAGATGGGGTGGCCGCCAGTCGCCCTTCAGCCTGAGTTTGAAGCAAATTCCAGCCTCGGGGTTGATTGCCACAGCTGTGGCAGCAGCTTCATGCCTAGCCAGATGCGACTCGGCCTGCAATATGCCCGGATTGAAAGACAAGAGAATCTTCGAAAACAGGGCAAGTGGAGCCGACATGTCGGACCGTCGGCTGAGCAAGTCTTCAACCTCGCTACAATTGGCGGTGCAAAGGCGATTGGCATGGCGGGCGAGGTTGGCCAGATCCGCGTTGGAGCAAGGGCAGACCTGGTGGTATTCAGCACCGACAGCCCCTCTATGCTTCCTGCTGCTGAAGAGGACCCCATTGCAGCCGTGGTTCTGCATTCGAGTGAGAGAGATGTGGAGATGGTTATTGTTGGAGGCGTGATTCGGAAGGAAAATGGCAAATTACTACCGGTGTCAGTCACTAGTCAAGTGGAAGGAGCCAGTGACCTCGGTCTTCACGAGAAAAGCATCACATGGAAGGATGTTGCCAAGAACTTGATTGAGAGTCGGAAGAGATTGAATAAGAAGGCAGAAGGGATTGACATGACGGCGGTGGAAGAGACCATCATGGACAATTTCTACATGAACCGGATAGATATGCTTGAGCAGTCATGAAAACATGCAGTTGACGACACGCAAGCACTTGAGTATTCGACGGTCGTGACTTCAGTACCTTTTCAACTTTGACTTAAATCTCTATATGTCGTACAGATGGAATGAAGCTCGAAATGTTGACTGCGTCTAAGAGGAACCGATACCATGGCTGGGGAGCTCTAAGTAATCCAGGCAGTTTGGGCACTTTCTTACCCGGTATGGGTTTTTAAGACGACCACCGGCTATCGAAGCAAATCGGCGCTCGAACTTCGTCATGACTGAAGTCGAATCCCGGCTACACGGCTCCTGAAGTAGCCATGACTCGAATCATGGAGCAGTAAGTCGTGACGGAGTTAGTTACCACCACGCGGAGTTACCACTCAAGATGCGGGGGAGCTGTCAGCCAACCCCACCTCGGCCGATCTCCGCCGCATTCTAAAGCGCCCGTGTCTATTCCGGTTGCCTTTAATACCGAGTCATCTGGGTAGAGGTATTTGCTTGCGTCTAGGAGCGGATAAGGCCATTTGATGTATCTTGTTCTCGGTACAGCTCGGGTTGAGTTCTGCTGCTCAAGATCAGATTAAAGACCTCGCATGATGTCCTCTCGGTTCCACTTGCCATGAAATACCAACATAGCGGAGACTTAATGGCGTGATTATAACTAGCGCACCCACCGCCAGCTTGGAGCAGAGACCTCCTCATCTTCAACCCTCCAGCGTCAACTTACACCAGCGAAATACTACCAAACAATCGCCAACATGCCGGAGTCCAAAGTCATTCCGGCCTCGGCCACACCAGTGGCAAAGCCAACGGCTACTTTTACCGGCGATGTTTACATGGAGCTCATCAACCGCGACGAGAACGCCGCCATCGCAAACGTCACCTTTACCCCATGCGCTCGGACGCATTGGCACACCCACGTCGGAGGACAGATGATCAGAGTGCTGGCTGGCAGCGGATGGGTTTGCGACAAGGGTGGCGAGGCTAAGCGAATCAAGGCTGGAGACACTGTCTGGGCTCCCCCGGGCACAACTCACTGGCACGGCGCCGACGATGGAAGCATTATGACGCATTTTGTTGTCGGCATTGGAGAAACGAAGTGGCATGAGGCTGTCACGGATGAGGATTACAAGAAGCGGTCGGAATGAGTTTCGCAAGTGTGAGTTTTGAGAGGCTTCATCTTAAGAGCTCTCTGCAGAGTTCCAGTCTGACAACTGAATATCTAGGGGGATGCTTGCACACAAAATACATAGATAGGACCAGTTCTCACTGGAATTCTGCATGTAGCTTCTCAAAACAACTCGTTTGCTATGCTTCGCCTATCCTCGTCTCTCGTATTTGCCAGTAACTTGGATCTGCGGTGTTTGGAAAATATCCCAGTTATCAGCAGCCGCAGGGTTTCCGAAAGGCTTCAGCGTGGCGAATCGCATGCTATCCAGAACTATTGTCAGCCCAGCTCTTATCAAAAGCACAAGGGTTCATCATGACTTACGTGTAGTTTCCGAGTTCAATCTGGCTTCCGTTGCCAAGTTTCCCGAACCACCAGAACTCGTGATACGACGCCTGAGTCTGAGCATTGCGGTACAGATCAACTTGAGGGTAGGTCCAGGTGTCATCAGGGTCATAACGAGTGGGGTCAAAGTACGACGCACTGCCTGCTACGACGTGGCTGGTGGCTGGGCCAATGTAGCCGTTGTGGCCGGGGACGGGCGGATATTCCCATTGTCTATCGGTCCAACCAGCTTCGTAAATCTTGACACAGGTCAGCAGCTATTCTTACGTCCAACTGAATGTTGTGATAAGACTTACATCCCATCGGACCTCCTTGCTGCCCCAAATGAGCTTTGAGTAGATGATAGGGAAATCGGCGACGGATGGGTCGAGATTGAAAGAGTACACACTGGCCACGGTCAGCTTATTCTTGCCCCGGGCTCTGAACACGTCCACTTACTAGTCTCTCTGCGTGGTGAAGGGGTACGAAGGACGATAGATCGGGCTAATCTCGGCCTTCAGGTTCGCACCGAGGCCTTTAATGGAGTCAATCTAGTTGTCAGAGTCTAATATCACCGCGGAATCTCACCTAGGTAGGGCACGGAAAGTTGTTCTCCGTTATTTGCGGAGACTATGACCTTTCCGCTGTAGATCGGCAGAGCAGAAGAGTTCCAGTCAAGGCCGTCTGGGTTGGGAAAGTTGACACTTTACTCAATCAGGTCCCTGCAATATGGAATGTAATTTCACAATGTGCATCTTACCTGACAGTCTTGCTCTCACCCGGTTTCAAAGTGAAGTCTCTCGGCAAAGACACCTCCACAGGGAGACTCTTGGGCGTTAACTCCGTAAAGCTCTTCAGTCTTTTCTCGCCACCCCAGGGTGTGACGAATGGGTACCATCCAAGGATTTCCACTCCCGCGGCAGCTTCGTACGAGAGCTTGTAGCTCACATCCTTGGCACCATTGTTAGTTACAGTCACGTCGTGGTAACGGCTGAAGTAGTGGGTATCATTGAGGGCGATCTTCTCAAAGGCAATGTCGGTGGTGTAGTTGACAATCTTGAAGGCGTTAACGAGGCCGTTGCCAACTTGGGCCACCGATGCGGAGAAGCCGTAGTCGGTAGCGGTTCCGTCGGACCAGGGAAGAGAGGTTCCACTGGCGATGATTCTTTGGTGCAGTGTCTTGGCGAAGCCCTTGCCTAGATAATGCACGATCAGCTACTATTCAGACATTAAGGCTGATTGGGAGGACTAACCGTGTACAGACCGGCCGCCGTGGGCGCTGATGAAGAGGGCAGCCACACCGGCTACGTAAGGTGTGGCCATCGAGGTACCGGAGAGCAACGCATACGTGTCATCAAGATAGGTGCTGAAGATCTAAGGCGATGTCAGAATGCCCAGCAGGGAGACTTTTAGGCTGGTAAAGAGACTGACTTGACCACCAGGAGCAGCAATATCAGGCTTGATATCGAGGTCGTTTGAAGCACCCCAGGAAGTGAAAGTGTTGGGCCGACCACCTGCCGGGTATTCCAAGCCAACAACCTGCTCGGGATTGAGTGAAAAGTCCGCGGTGACATTGCCGCCGGCTTGAACCGTCTCAATGATAGCCTTGCCAAGTGCGGCAGTGATGAGGGCAATCAAACCAACATCGTCATCGGTTCCGGGAGTAATGATGGGGTTTTCGTTGTTGTAGAACAAGATGTACTCGGCACCAAGGGCAACCAAATTGGCTTGCTTAGTTGCGAAAGTGCAAGTGCCTCTTCTCACCAAGGGAACGACGCCCTTGAGGCTGCGCGTGCCGTTGGGGTAGGGTTCGCAGCCGTCCGCAGGATCAGTAATGTCAAAGTTGAGAGGAACGACTGGCCAGTCAAGTATATCGGATGAGAAGTAGTAGGTCGAAGGCAAGTATCCAGCCTGTCTAGTGTCAGAGACCATGCCATGTGATCCACGAACGAAGATCGTACCTTAACAGTCTCGGTGTTTCCATCGAGGACTGATGTCAGCTCAAAGGGCGAGGCCGGATACTTCTCGGTCTCTACGGAGGCGACGGCGAGAACATTCTTGCCGGAGGAGCCACTGCTTCCGAAGAAGGCACCGGCAGCGCCAGAGTTGCCATTAGCGATCGTGACTACGACTCCCTCGTCTACCAAGCGAGAAGCGATCTCAGCCCACGCATTCGTAGACCAGCCACCTGGACCGCCGATACTGGCAGTGATGATGTCAACCTGTTTTTTATCAGTGCTTGCTTGCTTCTCTCAAGGTCTAAAGGACGCTTACGCCGTCGGAGTAGGCTCGGAGGAAAGCCTCGATGAGAGTAGCATCGTCCGTCGCGTCCTGCCGCAAATCAGAAAAGATCATGCCTGCAGTGGTTCAAATGTCAAGCTCACCAGTTGAGCGAAGACCTTGTATGAGTAAAGCGAAGCCTCAGGGGCAACTCCGCTCCAGCTGTGAGAAAAAGCCATTAGTCTCTTTTGCGGCGGCAAAAGATTTCTTCACGGCCTTACAAGTCATTCTTTCCAGCAATGATTCCCGCAACATGGGTTCCTGTGCGGTGGTCAGATTCCGCTTTTGTACCAAAGATTGTTAGGCGTTCTCCTACCATGTCCAAGCTGGTCCAGCGGATCATCATCTGGAGTCTTGTCTTCGTAGGGCCAGACTACGCATGCTCGTCAGAATCTCTTCATATTTCGCACTTGAGCCTGAGACTTACTTCCATTGCCGACGAGATCGTAACCACCGGCAACCTTGAAACCCGGGCCGAAGCCACCTCCGAGCTGAAGGGTGTTTAGCACTCCAAGATAACTCGACGGATGATAAGAGTGACTTACGGCTGGATGCGTGTACCAAGTTCCAGAGTCAACAACTCCGACTTTGACTCCCTGCCCGAATATGCCCTTGTCGTGCAGCTTGCTCACACCGGTCGTATTGTGCGGGCTGTAGTTACCAGCGGCAGCCTCCTCAATCGACTTGAGGCCCTCAACGGGGGACAAGCTGACACGGGTATTCTGCCAGACGCGAGCAACACCAGCTAGGTTCTGGAGACTATCAATGTTGTGGGTGTCGGTCTCAATGCTGGCGCCGGAGAATATGTCGCTCTCAAAATTCTTGACGACCTTAATGTCGGCCTGGAGGGCAACGTCGCGACGAGCTTTGGCTGATCCCTATAGTTGAATATTAGTCCAGGCTTCTGAACTCCCGAGTCGAGTTGCATTTACATACTGAGGTATACTCGATTATGTAGCTCTTCGCAATAGGAACAGTAGCGTTGTTGATCTCATCTGCAACCTCTGGAGCTTGACGAGTAGCGAAAGACTGTGCACTCCCAAGAACGGGAAGCGCAAGGAGACTGGCAATACTCAGCAGATGCATTATGAGGGTTCACTCAAGATAGTGCGCCACTTGAAGCTCTGTCTCTTGATTAACAAAAATCAAACCGGTGGGATGAAGCTCTTATAACTATGACTTATTGACGGCTCTGGTGACATTCACCTCGCCTCTACCGAAATCCGGCTGCTACTCTTTGTTGCAGCGTTACATTGCCGATACGGCCATGGGCGTAGAGATTCCTGGCGATATCGCCATTGTTGTTGGAATGAGCTTCCTTCTTGGGATGGCTAATATGCCAGGGTCGCACGCGGTATCGGACGATGGTGCAGCGCTGACGTTGACAATCACACAGTCTTTTTTTAAACTTCGCAGTCATCACCAACCTTCTGGTTGTAGGAAGTTCTCATGATAGACAATAAGAAACACATTGATCCCCTAAAGTGCGTAGCATCTCGTATCCAAAGGCAACTATGAGCATGCCATTCGAAGCGTATTTTAGGAACGTCGATCATGAACCTCTGTCGTGTTAAACAGCAAACAAGAGAGCTGTTTTGTGAGAATTGAGGGGTAAACCCGTTTTGTAGTGATTGATGCTACCCAAGAGAGGCTGCCAAGACGCTACCCCTGGAAGAACAAGGTGCATTTGATGGCAAATCGCAAGTCGAAATCTCGCAAATCTCGTGTTGCGCTCTCCCCGATAACGACCAACTGCGTGACTTGGAAAACGCGCTGTTCGGTCGCTGATTGCGCGAGATGGCACCATTCCTAGTCCAGAGTGCGATTAGGCTGATGGCATGTAATGCAGCTGGGGTTTAAATGAACTGCATAGACCCATGGGCGCAAGATGTCAGAGCGAAGGGCTGAAAGTGAGCTCAGGCTTGGTAAGTATCCGTCATCAGGCGCCTGCGGGCTGCAGGTTCCTGCATATTCTTCTATCAATCACCTCGTGTTCGACCTGCGCATGCGACCCAACTATTGAGATTGGTATCTTGGCCGAAGAAACGGGTTCGGATGCAGCGGCCGAGTCCTCTTCTGGGAAAGGAGCGATTGCTTTGAAGTCGGCTGAACGGCTTCGCGGTTTCTTGGCCTTTTCCGAGAAATGTTAGAGTACAACAGTGAGGTAATCACCAATACGGTGAGTGCATGTAAAGCATCCAATGCGGATAAGCATAAATGTCATCGAAGTGAATTCGGCAGAAAGGCCGGATCAGGATCCACTCTACCGGGATTGAAGCCGGGAAAGGCCCCGGGCGGGAGATTCGCGCAATACCCGCAGCTGAAGTAAATCTGGACGAGCCGGTCCGATTGCGACAAACTCAAATGTTTCTCGTCAACAGTTTACGAAACCAGCCTCTTGCTGGGTGAGGAAGTCTCACTTACCGTGAGGTATGAGACAGAGTTTACCAAGACCAAGGACGTCTACTGAAAGTTCTCTTCAATGCAGACGTCTCAACGGACTCAGATTTTAGCGCGAAATTGAATTATCAGATTATCTCAACTACAATTTGAGCTACAGCGTGACTTCGTACTGAAGTTTGAGCTTATTCCCGGTGAGTAGCCGACTTCTCTTGGTGTCCCAATTCCTCATCACTGTGCGCAAGGTGGCCGGTTCGTCCCTCGCGATTGTGAAGCTCATCCTCCATCATCTCATCCCCAGCAACCTCTCTCATATCCGAATCATCAGCCACATCAAAGCTGCGTCGTAGGTGTTCAGGACCGATAAAGGTCAACAACAACACATAGGCAAATACACAGCCCATGAAGATGCAGATAACTTTGCCATAGTCGTAGCGCTTCGTCGTGCCCTTCGGTGTAAGAGGGAAGTTCTCGCCGAGGCGGGACTCAATGGTGGAACTAGCCGACGAGACGAGATTACCGAGCTGGTAGGACGTGCCGACCACAAAAGTGCGGAACGCGCCGGGGCTGAGTTCCATGAGGTGGATGGGGATGACGCCCCAGGCACCCTGCACGCAGAACTGCTCAAAGAAGGCGGCAGCCATGACGGCCTCGGTCGTGACAAAGGTGTAGGGATACAGCAAAGCACCGCCCACGACGCAGCAAACCATGATGCTGAAACGCCGACCGAAAATCTGACTGCAGTAACCGACAGTCGTGCCACCTAGCATGGCTCCCAGGTTCGCGACGACCTGCGTGACAGTGACCATGTCGGCATTGAAGTTGAATTGGTTCGTTAGCATGGTGGGATAGAGATCCTGGCTGCCGTGCGACATGAAGTTGAACCCAGCCATGAGGAGGACCAGGTAGGTCAAGAGCAACCAGTGTCTGCGCAGAGCCACTTTACCCTCCTTCAAAAAGGTCGAGGTGACGCTCGTGTGCCCAGCCTCCTCAGCGCGTCGGCCGGCCGCCTCGCGGATGCGCTTGTGCTCGATGAACGTGTCGGTCTCGGGCAGCATCAGACGGAATGCGATGAAGAGGACCGGCGGACCGGCTCCGAACCAGAAGAGTGGTCGCCAGCCGTGCGGGGTCGTGTTGACCAGCCCTCGGGCAAAGGCCGCAGCCAGTAGGTATCCAAAAGCGTACTGATCGGCAGAGAAAAAGGTTAGTCTTGTGATGCGACCAACTGAAGGATTCGGGCAAGCGTTGGTGGCTTGGGGGATGATGGTTGGTTAACTTGGGTTTCGGGAATTGAGACTTACACCTTGTTGTAAGACGCCGGACATCATTCCGCGTGTCTCTGCTGGGAGGTCTTCAAGGGCTGTTGCTGCCGCGTTACCGTACAGACCGCCCATGGCGACTCCGAAGAGGGCGCGACATGCTAGGAATTGCTCGTAAGTTTGGCAGAAGCCAGTGCCCTGCGGAAATCGGCTTGTTAGCTTGCAATACCAAAACAACAAAGATGGCGCAGAACAAAGAGCGGATGCTGATGTCACCACTGCCATACATAGCACTAGCATCCAGGTGACTGAACAACATCGACCAAGAGAGAGAGGAAGACAAGCCTGGGGGAGAAGAGCGGGTTTGTGGAGGGGGGCAGGGATTCCCCAACGGCGCAGCCAAGACGGGAGAGGGGAGAGGGGAAAGCTTGTCTGGCGCCGGCCAGGCTCGGCACATAATTGCCGGTTGAAGCCAATTAAAGTAGCGCCGTTAGAGAGAATAGATGACGAGTAATTTATCATACCAGTTCGAGGATTATGAAGAGGAGGTTGTTCACGATGAAGGGCCATTTTCTGCCGAAGCGATCGGCTGCGATACCGAAGAGGATGGACCCAACAGATCGGAACATGAGCACCAATGTGATTCCCCAGGTGATGTCGGTCTTGGACTTGTTGAAAGTCTCGGAGAGTTCGGTGATGGTGAGGGAGACGGTGAAGAAATCGAAGGCGTCCCAGGTCTGTTTAGAAGGGTAAGCAAAGCCTGACACAGACGAGGATGAAGGCATACCCAGGCAGCAAAGGCGACAGCAAAAAAAGCCCATTGCCTTCCGTTGATCATCTTCACGAGCCTCAACGGATTCGGCGCGCTCAGCATAGGCGGCTTGAGGGTGGTAAAGCGTGTACCGAGATAGCGGCGGACGGACATGCCGTGCCATGGCTCTTGGTCCCCATGATGTTCGATGTGAGGGCTCTCAGGTTCGACGTGTGTTTTATCGTCCATGATGAGCTGTTGGTTCCAGTCGCAAAGCAGATTGAGTAGTTGGAGGTCAAGTTCCTTTCACCCAGCAGAAGTTCCTACGGCACCGCAGCGGTCTTATACGAACAACGAGGCCTGTCGACGGCATAACCCCGTGAGCACTAATTCAAGAGCGGGGTTATCCATGAAATAAAAACACCTAGAATGATGTAGGGTCGACGAGGGTCGACACCAGTCCGGGGAGGGTGGATGCCGTCCTTCATGTTGGGGGACACAGGGGAGGGCTGGAGAGTTTGGCCAACACATGGGGATAGCACGGTGTTTAGATTCGGAGCACACAACTAAGAACCGAAAAGGCCCGCTAATCAAGTTGCCAGATAGTGTCCTCGCTCATTGGTAATCGTCTGCAAGACACTGGCCAACAACGTTTCTTCTTACCCTGAAACCAGCAGAGATATCTGACAAAAGCCTATTGTGAGCTCTTGAATACGCCGAAGTCTGGCCGCATAATTCACCTGTTAAGTGACAGCTTCCCCAACCGAGCGTCGTCACCCCCAAATGAGACGAACCCTGGGCAGCAAAACGATGGGATATCAGAAATTGTGCGTACTTATCGTTGTGACCGTGACATCACATCGAAAAAGGCCAAGACGGCAATGGCAAGCGTGCAGCACACCCTTAGGGGGAAACAAACCCACACACCCCTCTCTCTCACTCCCCGGCTGCCGCTGCTAACCACACAGGACGAGAATGATTCTCCTCAAAGACCCTACGCACTAAGAAGCACAGGACCCGCCCCCATGGGCAAACCCCAGCCGCCATTGGCTTGGAATTAGCTTATCTGCTCTTAGCAACGGTCCCAAGCTCCACTCGCTCAGGGACCGGACGGTCGCTAACTTTGCACAATATACTGGGCGTCAGTTAGCGTTCGCCGGGCCCGTAAGCACCACGACAATTTGAGGTTCTCCTCTCGTATTTACGTGTCAAATTGAAGATTGACATGATTCTGTGGCGGATCTCATACTATCAAAGAGCTATCCACTCCTATTGTTCTAGAAGCTCTCGGAGGTGTCCCGCGCCATCGGCGCCGAGATCGGCAGAGACACACCGGCGCTGGGGGGTTTGAGTGGGGTTGGCTGCCAGATTGTGGGATTTCGGCGTTCCTTCCTGTCCTAACTCATTGAATTTCGAGCACGCCAAGCTCTTTGCGAAGTTCGATACCCCCTGACCGGACTATTGGCGTTTCTTTGGGAGTCACATAGCCGCGGAGCCGCGTTTGCGGCTCGGACGAGCGGCCGGGGAGTCGCCGGCCATTGCTACGCTGTCTTCGGGAGAATCCCGATCGTCAATATTCGCCGAGTAGCCAAGATCAGAGAAGCACACGCCGCAGTGCTACGGTACCATCAATTGAACCCTTAAGCTCTCCAAATTTAGGATCAATCAGTCACATCATGCCAAAAGCGACGTTCTCAGTCATATTGGATTAGGTATCATGGACCAAGCCATATCTGCTAGTGTGAATTGACCACGCTAATTTAGGCGAAGGGAATCTTAATTCCAGTCTCCTCCTCAAGCAATTTCAACAGCTGGTTTTGTCTCTTCTCCTCCTTTGTGAAAGGGGCGGGAGTATCTTCCTGTCCGGGAGGCTTGAAGTACTTTCCAGTAACATCTCCACCACCAGTTCCCTCCGCCAGCAGAACGTAACTTGCCACTCCATCCTCTGCCTTTTCAGGTGCGCTGGAACCTCCCATCTTGGTAGGCACCCAACCAGGATCAACCGAGTTACTCTTCACATCCGGCCACAGACGAGCGACGGCGTTGGCCAACGTCGTGACGTGCAGCTTTGAGTCGCAATACGCCTGCGTCTCATTCCACCCTCCCTCTCCGCGCTCGCGCCACGTCGGGTCATTGAAGCTGGTGTCGCCATTTTTGTGCAAACCGGAAGAGATGTAAACGATCCTCTTGGGTTTGTTGATCAAGGACGTGAGGATGTAGGGCGCAAAGACGTTGACAGCAGTCAAGCTTGGCAGTCCGAGATCGGTCTTGCGGTAAGGCCCGCGGTAGAGGCCGGCGTTGTGGATGACGACGTCAAATGTTCCCAGATTGTTGGCGTCTTCGGCGAGCTTCTTGACCTCTGCAATCTTGGAGAGGTCGCCGATGAGGACTGTCTCGGCGCCTGGTACGGCCGTCTTTGCATCTTCGGCTCGTTGCGCGTTGCGGGCGTGAATGACGACTTGATGGCCGTTCTTGAGGAGGGTGCGGGCGGCGACTGCGCCTAGGCCGTCAGAAGAGCCTGTGATGAGGATTCGAGCCATTTTTTTTTTTTTCGATAACAGATGAATTGATTTGTCTGTAGAGATGAATGTGGTTGATGTGATACTGAACAGGACGCAGTTGTAAAGGCTCAGAAGGCAATTATTCCGCTGAGTAATCGAGCAAGCGGACTGGAAGGTTAAATCCGCGCATCATCAATAATCGCGAGTCGCGAGCGGGGGTCCGGGTTCGGGCGTAAACTGTGGGGTTAGGATTTCGAAGATGATCGAAGGATGTGAGACTCAATCACGTCATCCCGTTGTTGAAATAATTACGGATTTCATCAAAGATTTGAACAATCCAAACCGGCACTCTTTGTGTCTGACATTATGAATGGAATCGAAGTCATCGGACAAGATGTCTGAAAATGGACAGATATATGTTCAATCGCTTGATCAAAGCTTGAGAAATGATGAATGCCGAATTTTGCGTAAACACACGGTCAATTTCTTCTCCTATCCCGCCCTCTTGTAACCGTACTTCCGGCGCACATTCTTAACTGAAATTTTCCCGGTAATGATTCCTGGACTCATTGCGGTAGGAAACATTCGCTATCATGTCACGACATTCAACGTATTATCTTGCGGGAGGTGGAGCTTGATGTTTTACCTTGGCCCTTTCTTCATTGTTAATGCGATAGTATCAGAATAAGACAGACTTACATTTCTGGCTTTGAAGGCTTTGAAATTACCACTTCCATCATTTGCAGTCGATTCGATGTGATTATTATGTTTACATGGTCTAAAGATTTCATCAATGGGGTGAGTGAGTGAATTATTGCTCTTCGCGTCGAGATAACGAATATTGGCATGGCTTTGTCAAGATTCGAGTGTTATCTCGACCAATAACACAAGAAGCAGTGGTATGCCCTTCTTCTGTCATGTTCATGAGTTTCATGGTGGGCGGTCCCGTGTGCAGTGCCGTCTTCTGTACCTGTGTAAATCGCATGAGGAGTCGCTTCGCGCCATCGAGATAAATTCCTGGGAGTATGCTTCACTTAATGGCTTCCTTAAATGTAGGGATGTGTCGAACGAAGGTACGGGTAGTGTGATTGCTGGTTTATGGCCTGAACCGGACAAGTAATATGCAGGTGGGCGACAGTCCCTAGTATACACTTAATGCTCGGAGAGGCCCTGTGAACCACTGTTGGGCCCTTTAGTTCAACAGAATGTTCATGTGAGGGATATCAAAAAGTTTGATATTGTCGGCGCCTGTGGGATCATTCGGTGTTGTCGACGTCCAAGTGCCGGGCTTTCTTGAGTCAGTGACCTGAACAGCACTTCGGGGAAGTAAAGAACACTAGTCGCCGTCAAGTCAGTCCATATTTGCCTTCGCAGGGCCATCCATACAAATAACTATCCTCCATCACCCCTCTTCAACGCAACTCGCCAGGGCCTAATCGAGATGAAGAAGCGCATCGCATGGTGCTGTTTCTGATTCATAATTGCTCTTTTGTTTTCTTCGTGTGACTAGGATCGACTCGAAATTCCCATCGTTGACCCAAGGAATGGAATTCAGTAAGGACGTTGAAACATAGCTTTCGCCTGGCAGGCTACATAGGACAAGATGCTCTGCGTCTCTCTGTGGGAATGCGAGTAGGAGGTCGGTTAAAGGGTGGTCATGGACATAGTCGGTGATTGAATTAAGGCTGCGCAAGTTATGGGGACATTGCAGCAGCCCGGCAAGAGAAAGCTTGAGATCGTTTGATCACGGGAGTCGCTTTAGTTCAGATCGAGCTGTGATTACAATGAATCGGGAAAGCTGTCCGAAGCGTTTGCGTCTCAGAGAGCCCAATGCCTAGAGCTCCGGAAGACTAAAGTAGAGAAATCCCACGATCGTGGTGTCGGTCATGGAGACAGAAAGAGTTAGCTCGGCTCTTAGGGAGTTGTAGGGGTAGATCGAGGTGAACCGTAACATAGGGCGGATTTATAATCCACGGTTGGGCCATTGGCGGTGATGATTGTACGCGTTCGCTAGCAGAGCTGTACAAAACAATAACTCAACAAAACCCATCATATATCGCGCATGTCCAGCCCCGTTCTAACCTTTATGCGATTTAAAGTTGGAGAAACATTCGGTACTTTCTAGCTTCGCGCAAGTCGCGAATTGAATTCCTTAAAGACTTGCCCCCCGAATGAGCTGATGTTTCTTTGTTGGACTCTTCGCGTCAGTCACCTGGCTAGGTCTCACCCAAGTCTCACCAAAGCATGTCAACTCGGACTCCATTCAGGCTGGTGTCTACAGCTGCCAAGGGTATTTTGGCCTCAGTGGGCTTAGCTCTACCTTGTTCGCCTAGCTAAAGTAGGTACGTTGCGTGCTAGTGATGTGATAACGCTGGAGCTATCGTCCGCAACCACACTTTCCGGGGGTTTTGAGCTGGGACCACTTCTCCATACGAACCCTCCCGCCACTACGATCACATAGCGGTCAGCGCCATACACGGCAGTTGCGGTCGTGACTGCCCACGGCGGCCGAGTTTGCCTACCCACGGTCGGAATTGCTTGAACGCGATCGCAATCGTTTATAATTACAATAGAAACTAGATAATTCCGCCTGGAACTAAGTATGATCAAGAATAGACAGTCTGAAACATAGTTAGGCAACTGGGACCTAAGCCATTGACTGCCGGGCCTGCGTTGTGGGTGCCGCGCGGGCGGGTTACTGCGCGCTCTGTGACTCGTGCGCACCTGGACCGGGAAAGTTTAGAGTTGTGGCTGAAGGCTCTCGTTGGCTAGAAGAGTATACGGATATCACTACCCAGATACCCAAAGTTGGCACAGACCGCTCTACAAGGTATGCAAGACGTAGGAATAGGCCGGCGCGGTGACGGTCAAGAACTCAAAATCCAAGGTCTTCTCCAGAGGAAATTGGTTTATCCCCTTCCAGCACGACCTACATTCCCAACGTGCTTTCGCTCGGAAACGCGTTCCGAAAAGGCAACCGGTCGTCTGGTTGACCGAACTGAGACAAACGCAAGTGGTCAACTGCTGCAGTGCTGTCGCGTCACGGGACCAGGCTAAGAGTTCCTAGAAATGTCCACCACCATTTTCATCCTCCTCATCCTCATCACCCTGAAGCAATTTGACTCTTGCTTCAGGTAGTATCAACAATATATCGTCTATACAACATGCTCCTCTGGACACTTGAATTCTCCTCTAGATACTTAAAACCTGGTCTGAATACTATGTTGAATGCTCGTTTGTATGCTCGGATTCTCCTTGGCCATTAAGCCGACGAGATCATTCGTGCTCGTACCAAGGGTCGAACTCAATCTAAGGGTCGATCCTAGGGACCTGTCACATCCAGACTGAGATCGCTCAGACGCTCATTCACTCATCCCATCGGATTGGCGTTCTGTGGCGTTCTTGTCCCGGCGACTAGTGCTGAGTGCATGGTTCGATCGCTAACGCGCTAGCCTAGAGACTGCGACAAAGGCATCCCGCGTTCGTCTGGTGTTTTCCCAATTCGAACCCCTGACCCCCGGCTCCGATACAAGATGTTGCCGTGCCCGGTCTTGAGTCCCTCTTTTTCAAGAAAGGGAAGGAAAGAGGGGCGGTCTTCGATTATCCACCACGCCGGGTCAAACGCTGAAGTGCCTGTCCTTCATCACGGAGATGAAACAAATCATGAGGATCGGTGTTGTGCTGCTCATGGCCGCAGTGGCACAGGCGGCGTCCACATCCGGCTTCAACTCGTCCTCTCTGACAACTCTCATGGCCAGAGTCCCACATTGCGCAGTAGGTTCACCTATCTATCAAGACCGCAAGAGAAGATGTTCTGACCTTCCTGTTGAATCACAGATAGGATGCCTCCTCGACGGATACCGCTCCGCCCATTGCCCCATTGACAAGATAACAGACTGCGTCTGCACCGACATTCCATTGCAGGCCCGCAGTTCGCAGTGTGTACAGCAGTCATGCGACTTCAACGATCAAATTGGTATGTCAGAGTAAGATGCTGGAGCTCTGCTTCACGCGGTTATGGCTGACTAGAACCCATGAAGCCACCGTCAACGTCTCCCAAGAGTTGTGCAAGAACTACCCCATTGAAGAGCAAGCGCGACCTGCCAAGTTCTTCTCCGTTGCCCTCCCTACCATGACTCTCGTGGTTGTGCTCCTTCGATGTGTTGCCCGCATACAAGTCGCCAGTCGGTTATGGTGGGACGACGGTGCGGCTTTGATGGCTATGGTAAGTCTGCGATCTTCTATAGTGTGTAGATAACAACAATCAGTTTAATACCTTACTTGCAGGCAATATTGATAGTAATATCCGGTCTCGGCTACGCAAGTACATGCTACTCCTTCCCCGTGCCGAATCTACCAGAGGTGTACATGCTTACCTGAATGACTGGTTAGATGGAGACTTGGGGTTCGGTCACCACTATTGGAACATCGACCCTGCAAATAGTAAGATGATCCTGCAGGTATGAGATCGTGCAACTCACTTTGAGCTTCTTTTTGTTTTTTGCTCACAACACTATGTAGATCATCTATGTGTTGCAAATGCTCTACATATTTGTGCAGTATGTCAAAAGCCCACTATTAACAAACAACAAGGAAGACGACAACTAACCACCTTCTCGTGTAGAGGATTTGCCAAAATCTCCATCGCCTGCTTCTACTATCGCGTCTTCACCGGCAAAACCTTCCGACTCAAGACCAATATCTTCTTGATCTTTCTCACCACGCGCAGCCTTCTGTTCTTACTTCTCATCATCTTTCAATGCACCCCGATCCAGTCTATCTGGAACCGGGCTATCCCGAGCCAGTGCCTCAATATCTCGGCTATTAGCTACGGCGGTGCGGCCTGCAGCATTCTCGAGGACATTGTCCTTATTGCCCTCCCCGTTCCGGAGCTTATGAGGCTCCAGCTAGACAAGAAGAAGAAGGCTGCTTTGTTCGGCATGTTCGCCCTAGGCTCCTTGTGGGTATCCATCGTCCATGATGTTGCCTGTAGAAAAATGGAAGCTGACACGGCGGCCAACTAGTGCATGTGTTGCCAGCATGATCCGACTCAAACAGCTGGTCTCCTTTGCTCACACATTCGACCCTACGTGTACGTCATTTATAGCCACCCCCATAAAGTCAGCATCAGACTCCCGTGCTAACTTATGTCAAATTAAAAGGGGATTACGTCGGCGTCATAGACTGGTCCTGTGCTGAGCTCAACGCAGCCGTCATGTGCAGTAGTCTCCCAGCCCTCCGGCCGCTTTTCGTGAAAGCGCTGGTCCTCGTGTCTTCACGGACATGGAGCAGCAGGCCCACGTCCGCTGGCGACAAGACTCACCAGCAACAGCAACGGCATGGTTTCGCAATGGCCAACATTGGCTCACACCCCTCGAGATCTCACCAGGCCAGCGCCCAGTCGTGGCCCAAGGACGCGGCCCAGAAGCCCGTCAGGCTCGATTCGCTTGAGATAGAGTCCTCGGCGCCGAGTGAGGGGAAGTCATCCCACTATTACTTGGAGACGGCGATCGAGCGGAATGGTAGCGACTTGGACAGCGATCCGTGGTCCGCGAGTGCCGCCTCGACAACGTTTAATGAGGGGCAGATGAAAGATTCGAGCCTTGGAAAATAGCTAGTCATTCTTACAATTTTAATTTCTCGCCTACCACGGAGTTTTCTTCAATAGAAACCTCGAATGTTGCTGGCGGTGGTGACTTGGTCCACGGCAGGTAGGGTTTGGTTCAAATAATTTCAACATCGAGTTGGTTGGCGCTGCAAGCGCCGAGGAAGGTGGCTTTGTTGTTCCATTGACCTGAACAGCGCTTCAATTTTTACCGCCGTTGGTTTTCTCCCGCCACATTTACCCGGTAAGGTAGGCGGAGGGACAAAGCAAACTGTCATTCTAGTTCATGTTCTCATACGCTAAGCACCAGCCTCCAATGGCCCAGCAGACCAGATCTTACAAGTTGCGAGTTCAGCCTAGTGCTAAGGGCAGACAGCCGCTTCTAAATGGGATAAAGAATCTTGAATAGTCGATTGAACATTCAAAGATGAAGACGGGAAGGGTTTGTGCCCGTTTGCCAGGTGATGAAATAGAATACTGCTACTAAAAGGTGACCCAGCGAGTCTTAAGGCGTTCGAATTCTTGATTTTCACAATGGCTCATTTGGCGCTTTCAACAGATATCGATGGCAGCAAACTTAATAGAGATATCCTCTCATGCCCCTGAGGAGCATGATCCCCAAACACCGAAAAAGCCTAGCACTCATGCTCTGGAAGAACACAACACTCGAGTCTTGAACGGGCATTCAATGGGAAATTCTCTACGGGAGTACGTATATCAAAGAATTCATCAAGATATCAAACGACTGGGATGGCAGACGATTTGAGTCACCGGCTCACTTCTAAGAGACCCGCCCGCAATAGTATCATCCTGGGAATTTGAGAAGCAGCCCACACTGTTCAACTTTCGGCGCCCGACAGCGACAATTATCGACGACTCGACATTAGTAATCCATTGCTTTCCATGTCGGGCGTTTGTTCAACATTACAGCAGAGTGATATCGACGTACCTGCAATTCGAAAACAGAGCTACCAGGGTAGAAACGATCTTACCGGCAGATTCGGCAAGCCAGGATGCCCTCTGGCAATCGAATCTCCCAGAAGTTGGAGCAACAGATGTTGTGATTTTCGGTGAAGTTCACAGACTGACTCAACTCGCTCCCGGAATTACATGGGGCTCACAACATCCAAAGGGGCTATTTGACTGGTATACCTTTGTGTCTGAAGGTGGCAAAAGAATCACCCTGCTGGGGTGAAGAGAGGGTCTCTGGAGCGAAGCTGCAGGGTCTTTGGTTATTGCACTTCGAACGATCTCAAGTGTGCAGTGCCTCATCTACGTTAGCAAAGTTGGGTGTCTGGCAAAGACCTTTCCGGCGAACAGATGGATCGCTACTGGAGATAATTCTTCATGGGAAGACGGATGTAATATACAGTGGGATAACCCTCTGCGAGAGTTCACATCGGACTCTGACGTGGTAGTATGGGGACGCATGTTTCGGTTCCGTCACCGTTGTGCGAGACTAAACAATGGTTACAGCAATGGCAAGAGACTTGTTCCTGGGTTGACTGCGAAACATGGCATATGGCACAGGCAGCCAAAGACGTGCGTGTCAAGTTCGGTTATTTACACGTCGTCTCGGACAACCTCGTGGAGGAAGGTGGCGAGAACTTGTCAAATGAGAACCGCGAAGCAATCTACAGTAAAAGGGAATTGCTGTATCGGGAGATTGAGAACATTTTAAGAAAGTTCATTGCAGCTTGGGGTACACAACCCGCTGGGTACACCGCCATACCCGAGTCTACATAGAAAGAACCATGCATGGTGTTGAGGCAAAAAAAGTTATCAGGTACAGGAATGTGTTAGAGCGAACTGGCTTAGATTATTTTCTCGATAGAGACTTTTGGGCTAACTGTAGATTTGCAAGTGTGGAACGGCGCAGGAATTGATTGCTTGGTGCACTGGATTGCATTCTTGTTTGCTAAGTTTGGTTCTTCAGAAAATTGGAAGATCGCGACGGACAACTGTTCAAATCCCGAGCCAGTGAAATCATCATCTATACGGATTCTGGCCGCACGCCAAAACGGCGCTTGGACATTTACATTGATAAAAGGACAACTATAGATCCACACACTCTGAGCAGCCTCTCTGTTAGACAGGGGCGAATGGGTCGTGGCACTATCTTTACACGGCGATATTAAGAAGGAGTTTCAAAGTCACTGACTCGAGCACCAGCCTTACCTCCTGCCAAGCACATGGCACCCATAGCATTGCAGCGCTTGATCGGATGAGTTCTAGACACAATGCTACCGCGTCTATTAATCGGGTTTAGTCCATAGCTCTCGGCGGCCCGCGGAAGCGAAAAGCGGACTCATCACGTCGGCGAGGAACACGAACCGAAGGCTCCGTGAATCAGGGGCTCTGCCGCCATTACCGCTCCGTCCAAGAAAATTGTCTTGATGCCGAGCCAGCTCTGTGGATGCAAGTGGATCTGAGCACTCTATTGACATCTCAGCCCTGCGTTAAGCTTCTTGATATGGAAGGTACTAATGCCATACCATTGGCATACAAAAGGGCGTAGTTGGCCCTTTGCTCAGTGAATCGTGATGTCTTGGCACGCTCAACTCCCACACTCGCTCGTATTTTCTATAGTCACTCTTTTTTTTTTTGGTTGCCATTCTTGCAAGATGCAAATATTCACTCTTTTGACATGTCTCGCTGCGGCACTCTCAGTGCAGGCTCGACACCATAACGAAGCGGTAGCGGCTCATGAGTTGCTGGATAGAGCCGAACACTACGAACGTACCGCCCACCGGCAGCATGGCCTGATGCCGCGTCAAACAGGTCCCCTGGATCCCACCGTTACTCCCCCACCGTCTTTCAACTCGACGGGTCCAAGCACATTCTCAACTCATTTCTTCACCAACACCACCACAACATACCGCAATACGACGTCATCTAGATCGTCCTCAACGTCTTCAAGTTCGAAAAGCTCAAGCAAGCGGTCTTCCAGCTCTAGCAAGTCTTCAAGCAGAAGTTCAACGTCATCCAGTTCCAGCACCGCCTCGTCCTCTAGCAGCAGTAGCTCTCGTGGGTCTTCGTCCTCAAGTTCTCAGGCCAGCAGCTCCCAGAGCTCCTCCACGCTTAGTTCCAGCCTTAGCTCTAGCCTCAGTTCCAGCGCACTTACGTCCTCAACACTCACTTCTGGTACATCTTTCTCCAGTACTGCGGTTTCCACCTCCTCGGAAACTACTTCGAGAGAAACATCTTCCAATTCAGTATCTAGCACAGGTTCAAAGCTTACTGAATCGAGTGCCAGGAGTACTTGGAGCAGAAGAGAATCTACTCAAACATCTGTCTCGTCCGAAACTTTCTCCTTGACCATATCTTCCGGCGTCTCATGGTCTACGAGCTACACAACAGCTACTTATACCACTGTGGATGCTAATGGAAATCCGTATGTTCCTGTGGCTCCGATTGCTATTCCTGTAGTTGGTGGTGTGCCCGTCGTTCCCCCAGTTGGTGGCGGCGGTGGAGGTGGAGGCGGGGCAGGAGCGGAGTCAACCACCACGACGATGAGCTCTAGTACTAGCTTCAGCTCTAGTCCACCTACACTAACCAGCTCGGTACCAGCGAGCACCTCCTGGAGCTCAGTTGCACCAATCACGACAGCTGTTGAGTCATCCTCAGGGTCATCTATCGTGGAAGTTGTTACCGCAACATCTCCTGAGACCACAATTGAGGTTGTTGAGACTGTCACGTCTGCCGCGCCGGCTTCAACTAGTGCTGCGCCATCTCCGGTTCCGTGCTATGTGAGTAAACCTTCTTTCTTGTGATCGAGGCGATTGTAACGGGACCCAACTATCTTTCGGCGCTCATGAGTCTAGGTATCTAGCTGACACCTAATTGTAGAACTACGAGTGGAAATCATACGGGTGGTGTTGCCCAGGCCCAGACTCTCCCTGCCAAAATGACTTGGGCACCTGCTACTTTGATGGCTCAGGGGCTACTAATGTGTTACCAAACACAGCTGCTTGTCCGCCTGGAGAGGGCGCAAGAAGTTGAATGGGTTAGGCCGAGGGAGATATTTACTATGATGTACGTAGAGAAAGCGGAGTTAAATCATGTTTAGGTAAAGTGCAGTAAGATTGCCAGGGTACCATTTGTTTACGAATAAGGACTAAGTTTTAGACTTAGCAAAATAACTCAACGTAGCGAACCTTGATACAATAACATCCCTCAGAACTTGTTACTTCATGATTTTGGGCCTACTCATTGGGGAGCTGAGACCTCGCCTTCCTAAGTGATCTTTTCTGATGAGTTAGACTATGAGGTTTTTGACAAGCATTAAAGGAATTGATGTGGATGGAAAACCCCTCGACCATGCTTACATACATGAAAATGCAACACTTCTCACCTGCTTACGATATATGAGAATACAACGGCTTGGCTTCGCTTACGATACGTGAGAATGTGAAGACGGATGATAAGCACTAGTTCATCACACTCTCGGGTGATGGTCACATTCGTACGAGACAGGATGGTCGGTTCCGATTTCTGTCAACGCCTTACCATTTGTGTACCAATCTCCGAAGAATTTCGCTATTTGTAGAATCCAAGGAATAAGCGAAGTCTATGGAATCCTGTGGGATTCATTTAAATCGTATATCAATCATAATACCGACGAAAAGAACCGGCAATAGCTATGTTCACGCGGTAAGTCTCCTCACACCTGTTTTGGTCTAGATCGTCAACTCGCTATCCATAAAGAGAGAATATGGCACCGCTACCATCAAATATCAGTAATGGATGCTTCGATCCTCCAGTTTAGTGGCTCTTTCTTATTTGCCAGTGATCTGCGAGTTGTACGAAGCGATCTAGCCATGCGTCGATTACACCCTATCTTCTGGTTTGCTTCTTTGAAGTGCCTTGCCGCGGCAGATTCTTGGTCACCACCGGACGGACCGTCTCTGTACGGAAATGGCTCCTACGCCACGGACGTTCTTATGCTGGCGGGCAATGAGACGTGGACGAACCACCCGGACAACGAGGACACCTTTGGCAATGACACCCACATTTTCAAGAAGCGTGCCGAGGATTTATACTTGCGGATCCTTCCTCTCGGCGCATCAATTACCAGAGGCGTCCCGTCGAGTGACAACAACGGCTACCGCAAGGCGTTGCGCGAACAACTAAGGTTTGAGGGCTGGAAAGTTAACATGGTTGGATCCAAGCAGGATGGTACGATACCTCGATCACGCTGACAGTGCCTGGGCCCCGAACAGGTATTCACTGGAACGGAGGATGTGATGTGCTTGTCCAAAACAAGGCTACTGGGACTCTGACATTGTACGAGAACAATTACGATGCTGGCGCGAAGGCACTCACGTTCAGCAACCGGGGCGTTGTTGCGAACACTGGCTGCACAGAGGGCTGGGGTGCGGGTATCTTTGATAGGGGCATGCGCTTGGCAGACATTGAGTGAGCGCTTCCCCAGTATCACTTTCCAGCAAGCCGAAATCGAAACTAACGTACTTTCTTGCAGTGGTGACGGGCGAGCCGACCCTATTTGCAGTGAGATAAGTGGCGGCATGACTGCCTGGCTCAATAGACAGGGCGGCCTTCTCGATGCTGGCCAGATCAAATTCGCAGAGTCATGGGATCGTGCTAATATACGCTTTGCCGACGTGGAGAACTCCGGGAGAGCTGACATCATCTGGATGAACAAATATACTGGAGTCAGCACAGTCTTCAAGAACAATGGCTAACAGAGTGGTGGTGCAGCGGGGGGTTCCTCTTTCTCCGGGACGAACCGTGGCGTCCTCTACAGAAGGCGTTTCAGCCCATGATCAAAACAATTATATCAAGAATGGAACTTGTTGACGCATGTGACCTCAGTACTTCGCGAATCTCGGCGGACTAAGCCGAGCTGATCTCATCGAAGTGGACCCTGCGATGAACGCAGCCTACACGCACTTAAACGAATGTAAAGGAAGTGGCGGCCATGATGGGACCGTCAGTGGACCTGGATTATCATCATACTCTACCAACGACCCGCTCATCCTCTGAGATTATGCTCCTGTGTATGCCCAGGATAGCAACCAACCATACCCGCCCCTTAGAATGACGATGGGTCCGACATTGCTGTTGAGAACTTGCGCGAGACTCGCCTCTTCAGATTCTATCAGTGCAATTCTGGTACGTTTAGCAATATCAAGAACGGCTGGCGTGACTTCGACCGTCTGAGTTTGATGGACAGTCTATCGAGCAATATCGACTGGAACAGCCAGGGCATCAATGAGTTCTTCGGACAAGGCGACCAAAAGACACTGTCTGACGAAAAGAAGAAGCAGATTCAGAACATCTTCTACTACACGTCGCAAATGTGGATTCACTGGTGGACAGATGTTGGGCCCTCCAAACTATATTGACTCGTGGCAGTACCTGTGGATTGAGGTCTCATGTAGCCTCGGCGATGGCTCTGGGGACCCCGGAGACTACTGCGGAGACAAGTAAAATCCTTCTGATAGAGGTCCCGCTGCTTTGATAACTTGGAAATGGGACGAGAACCGCTATACGCGGGCGCTTGTCTGTAGGAAGTACACCACCCTGGGGAAGGATTGGGACGACCTAACAAGATACATGAACACAGAGAGAACCGCAGAAGACCGTCTGAACTTGACGAACCGGGAGCACGCTAGAGGAGGGTATTGGCTACATGAGGCGACGCATATGGGTTACTTCATGAACACACCATCGTCGGGGTCGGGGCCAGTCGTTAGAGATCTCCTCGTCGACTACCGTGACGGCCGTGGAGAGAACAAAGCCTACGGTATCGACAATGCTAAGGAACTAGCCAATTACGATCGTCAATTCAAAACCGGCGAGTATACGTAACAAAATTGTAAGCTTCAATATTCTCTGCTTGAAAATGGCGGACCTCTTGGCGACTGACAATAAACACCTGGTAGCCGACAACTACAGATTCTACGCCATATCCAAATGGGTGGAGGCAAATTCTGTTGAGAATACCTATCCCTACAAGCCCATCGTGAATCCTTTTGCGATGCCTGTATTCCCGCCTAAAGTTCCCGATGAAGGGCAGAGGTCTCGAGATAGATTAGATCTAGTTCGGTTACAATCGCGGTTGGATCGTGGAGAAACTCACGCCCGATGGGCGACAACGTAAATCTAGCCATTCTTTCAGACTACTACACTGCTCGGGTCATTAAATATTTCATTTCGTCACATGAATTTCCTCAGTAAAGATAGTCTTCCTCGCGATCTTGGCCGTAGCTCGCCTCTTCGCCGACGAGCGTCTCTTCTCTGCCCCTGATTTCCTCAGATTGCGGCAAGGGCTCCAGTGTCTTCTCCAAAGATTCCGGGACATTCTAGTTAACGTCTGGGCTTCCTTATCTTCGGGGGCCGGAGAAAGAGAAAGGTGCTCCAAGATGGGAGCAGAGCATGGATTAATTAGACTGACGGTAATCCCGAAGTCGATGTTGACTGTATTCTAAGGACCGAATTTATAAAGTACTGTGCTTTTTCAACAGAAGCTTCATGTAGGATGTAAGATGTTTGCGAATTTCATTAAAGCAGAATATATACTAAGCAAAGCTCCCCAAGTAAGTGGATGAACAACATGCGCTGGTCTATGTAGTCTAGAAGTCTTGACGGAATCTTGGGCTTCTTCTAATCCTCTCTCCAAAAGTATACAGAATCCATGGCACTGGCGCAGCAGCGAGTGTCAGAAGTCCCAGCAGGGTATTTCCCCATCCAAGACCCAATTTGTTGTACAACTGCAATCCTCCGAGAGGAAGCAGAGCGCCCAGCAAACTTCTCAACACGGCATTTGCAGCAGTGACGGAGGCGGCGTAGAGCGTAAATGCGTCGACCAAGTACGTATTGATCGTCATAAGAATACCAATCGAGCCGAAGCCCATTATACCGGTGCCAATCATGGGCAGAATCCAGTGAAGCTGCTTGTCTGCCGTCCAGCCGTACATCATGAGACCGATAGGAATCGTAAGTGAAGAGGGGACTGTGAGGATGAGATGCAGGCGGTCCTCCGGCTTGGGGTCCTTGCCCTCGGCTTGCCGTCTCTGGATGATCTTATCCGACAAGGTTCCGACGTAGGCGAGTCCGAGAATGTTACCGACACCACCTCCGATGAAAGAAAGGCCGGCTCCGACAGAACCAAACCCATACGTGTCGCGGTATACAAAGGTGAAGGTGGTGAAGAGGATATACAGGAAGCCGTAGAGCATGGCGACGTAAAGACACAAAATCATGACGACTGCCGAACGGAAGAACATGCGGCCAGGACGGATGATGGCCGTAAGGAAGATCTGGCGCGGGGTTCCCTTTTTCTTCATCCTTGATTGGTACTTCTCGTTACCAGTCTCCTTGCGCAAGCGGGCGGCTTTTCTTTCTAAGAGTACCGGTGCATAAGACTCGCGAAGAACAAAGAAGGAGGCCAAGGTCACTGCTCCAGACTATGGTGAAACGTTAGTTGGCGCACTCATTGCGTTGAAGTAAGATAGTCGAGAAGATATGTGCACTCACGGTGATGGTAATAATCCAGAAGACCCATCTCCATCCCTTGGCCTCTACAAGAAAACCAGCACAAACAGGTCCTACGACGGGGCCGAGGAGAGGTCCGAGACTCCAGATACTGATGTAGAAGCCTCTCTTTTCAACGGGCATCATGTCCGCAATGGATCCAGCACCGCAAGTAATCACGGCGACACCAGAGAAACCAGCCAGGAAGCGGAAAGCGATGAGCATGTCGATGTTGGCCGCAAGTCCGCAAGCAGCAGAGAAAACAACGAAAAGGGCGTTGCAGGCGTGATAGATGTAGACGCGGCCGTACAACTCGCTGAGCGGTGAAATAATGAGAGGACCCAAGGCAAAGCCGAGGACAAAAACGGAGACAACAAAGGTTGCGATCGAATCGTCGGATTCACCAAATTCGGCCATGACTTGTGGGATACCAGGCGCAAACATCGACGACGCCAGGGGCCTAAGGTCAGGTTAGTCACTGCGAAAAGGCGAAGGGTCATTCCCCGGAAAGTTCTTCGTACGTGAGGAAGGTAATGAATGAAAGGGTCGCGATGATGCCTAATTTGCGACTCTTCGACCAATTCATGGGGTTCTCCGGGTCTTGGTCGTCCGACCACCATACAGAGAACTCGTTTTCCGGCTCGGCAGCATCATCGACGATTGTGTTGACGCTATTCGCATTTGGCTCAGCGCTTGTAGCTTCTTCGTCATCTCCTCGTAGGTTCGGTGAAGCAGCGCTTGAACTTGTTTCGGTGACGGGAAGCTTCTCTGCCTCCGGAGGGGGCGACTCGGTGACTGGTGACTTCATGCTAATGGTTGATCTCTCTTGCTCTGGTGTGTTGGAGGGCAAGAGATGGGCTGTTATGAATGTTGTCTGGCAGCAAAACAGAGTCGGACTTTCCCAGCAGAGTTGAGAAGAGGCGGTCGTGTAGTCGTATATAAACACGAATGGATCTAATAGTTCAGTGTTAGAAAAGAGGAATACGTCGGGTTCGGGTTGGTAGATCCATCCGCTGTCTCGTTAGGCGTTTCCGAGATTCATGAAAGCGAGGAAAACGAATCACATATGCCCCGTCAGCTTCCGTGGGCTGTATTTTTGACAAGTGAGGACGTGGAGAAGGAAAAGCTGGCTGCATGCCATTATCAGAGACAGACTGGAAGTCGCACAAGTCAGAATGATCTTCCTTGGTGGGCCAGGCAGTGCAGGTGGCCAGTGATCCTTGAAAGCGAGACCGAAGGCCGGGGGGTGGCAGGCCCACAAGCTACCAGCGGCCTCGTTTCGAGGAACGACTTGACTCTAGATTGGCGTCCAATGACGGCTCTGCTGATCAACGGGTAAGCTAAAAACGTGCCAAATTTTTGGTAAAGGTATTCTGCACGTATGTGCTTGCGGTACTCGAGGGCAATGGCTAGGTACGGAGGGTATGTTAGTCAAAAGTGAGAGCCAACACACTAGAGGTGAAGGTTGCGCTTTGCATCATCGAAGATCTTGAAAGTCGCAAAACGACACGCATAGAGCAATTCACAAACTGAAACCCACCGCAAAGCAGAATTCCCAGCAGCGTGGATGAGTAAGAGCCAAGTTCATCTCAAAGAAGCCCTGTCAATCGGCCATCAGTTCTCCTCACTGACCTCTGCCATCCTTACGAAGTTACGATGGTGAATGAGGGGACGAAAGTGAACATAGTCCTTTTCGGCAAGTTGAGACCGATGATTGGGGGAAATCCTGGGAGCTGTCGTGTCTCTGGGCTCGGTTTCGGTAACGGGCATGGAGGGGGGAAATAGGAAAAGAAAAGCGTGAAATGTGATAGGGGCTAGCTGGGCTGTGCACCCACACCAATTCTCCGAGGACGCCTAGCTGGACCACACCTCGTTGTTCGAGCCTAGAAAAAGCTTAAAGGCCGTCTAGAACCCCATACCGAGCGGTACAGGAGATCCTTGACACCGCCGTATTTTCCGCATCCTCCTTAATCGTATTTCGGACTTAGTCAATGAGATTCCGCGCTAGGGGTTGATGTTGCACCACCAGACACAACTGAGCCGTTCGGTTGCCAGGGAATTACAGACTCGAACCTGAGAGAGCGCGAGAACTCATTTTTGAGTCGATTTCTAATCTCTTAGTATTCCGCTCTCGCTTCTGGAAACTCTCTAATTATGAGACGCTCTTCAGAGTCTTGACATTGAACCAGCAGACTCAGGAGATGTTCTCTACTTGGCCCCCAAGCCGATCTTGCCTACGGATAGGAACATGTCCCTTACCCCAGGTTCTGTAGTGAAATGATTGCCTGTTTAATGACAGTTCATACTGCTTATCGCCATTGTTTGACTCCATGTTGAGATTGGAACACGTTACCCCATTCGCTGGAAACTCCTGAGGAAAACAAGTTAGACTGTCTCCACCAAAACGCCCCCGATCCGAGGCTCTGTATGAATGAGCTTCTAGAGAAGATCCACTTTAGTGGGTGATGAGAGTCGAATGCCCATTAAAGTGGGAGCGGGCACGAGTAGTCAACCGCCCAGGATTCTTTGATCTACTATAACATTGGAGCTTGCTTCGAATCTGCATCAGCTCAGGAGATACGGAATTTAACGACAAGACCATACTAACAGCCGGCTTTAAGCTCAGAGAACCGGTCCGAACCCCCGAATCTAGAAGCGTGGAACATACTTCTAAACCCAAAAATGCGAGGGCGAGTTTCTCTTTTCCCCTACTTGGCGTCAGAGCGTCAATTTGGACGGCAAACATGCAGAGGCTTAGGGTCTCGAGTTAAAACGCATACTCATCAGCAGCGAAGATCTAATAGTTCGCTTCCGAGTATTCGGGAAAATGTGCCATGTTCCGTCAGCATTTGTTCTTTGGCGAGACTTTTGGTGCTGTGGTGAATGACATAGGTAGCTTGGCTGTTCGAGAGTGAAACAGCTGCCTTGCTCGGATGATCCTAGATCGCTGATTGAGACTCAAGAATTTATGACATTGGTCTAATACTTAATGAAAGCGAGCCCGCTCGCACTACCGTCATTGAAAACTTGGCGCTCGCCTTGTCTGAGTTGTGTCTGCGGCGCGATCTACGTCAGCAAGCTAATGTGCATCGTTAATCCTTGCTTTCGACTTACTCATCATAGAAATTTCCATCGCGCGAACTCACAAACCCAGATGGAAGATAGGAGACATTCCTCTATTGTCAGTATATTAGCTACCATATCCACGTTGCCAATGACCTCTTATCCAGAAGTCCTTGGCACAGTTTGTTCATCAAGCTTCATTTGGCTTCAAGTTCTGTGGAGGGCTCAACTCAACTTGGCTCGAGCTAAGCTGCATATATTTAACCAAATTG